TGTGTTTCGTTGTGAAAGTGAAACTACTTTGTTTGGCCTTCCAAACGAGGACGATATCCGCTTTGTCATGCCTGGAGCTGATCCGTGCTGGTCGCTGGATCGCCGGATCGGCTTTCATCGTGGACGAAGTGGAGTCCAGCCCGGGGTCGTCACATGTGGTTGCCGCAAGCCCTCTCTCAAGCCGCCGGCCTCCGCTCACTCTAGCCCTCCGGCCGCCGCTCACTCTAGCCCGCCGTGTGTTTCGTTGTGAAAGCGAAACTACTTTGTTTGGCATTCCAAAAGAGGACACGACTAGAAAGCAGTGGTTACGTTATATTTACAACACTGTTCCAGAACAGTTCAACCCAAATGCAGACATGGTTTTATGTTTACGCGGCGCGATGCAACGCAACGCGTAAAATGACAGTATAAGTCATTATAATCTGTAATTATGTCCCCACTGGATGCAACAAATGCCTCGTTTTTAATGGGTTTTAATGTTTTTGAATCGTCGTTCCGGCCGGGAGACGTCATTACAGTATGGTAAGGGGTGTAACATTTCCGTCACACGCTTGAGGTATTCGGCCAATCACAACGCACTGGATAGCTGGCCAATCACAGCACACCTCGCTTTTCAGAACGATGAGCTTTGTAAAAATCGACTCGTTTCAGAAAGGCGGTGGCATAGAGGAGAAACAATAATGTACAGTATGTGGAAAATAGAGTGTTTTTTAACTTTAAACTGCATAAACACATTTCATTACACCAAATACACAAAATAATGTTCTTTTTAGCAACATCATATGACCCCTTTAATTTCAAACATGTATACTGTTATTTGGTCATATGGACTACATCAAAGTAGATTACTTTAATGTGGATTTTTTATTATTTTTTATTTTTTGGAGCCTGATGTGTAGCATTTAGTATAAATTTAACAAAAGAAAAAAAAACCTGTGATGCATTGGAAACTGTGTGTGGGTGTGGGTGCACGCGCGCATGTTCAGGAATCCTTCCTAAGGCATCATTACCCATCACATAAAGCAGTTCACGCATGACCACACAACACACACTGCACATGTACACACACAGGCTAGTGTGTACTCTGTACCTCCCAAAGGCCCAGGGCTTTAGTGCAGATCCACTCACTGTGTACCTTATGTGTGTTTGACTATGAATTCATGTTAATTAGATTCACTGTCTGTTTGAACAGAATAAAACACAGAGCCGCATCCCTCTTAGCTGTGATCACACATCTGAGGTGGGTTTTACGCGCTGGTATTTTTAGTAGTGTTTCTTCAGGTTGGTTTGGCACACAGGTGAACTGGCACAAAAACAAACGCTAAGATCTCATAATAGCTTCCTGCAGCTTTCCACATCTATAGGGATGGCCAGACCCCCTTCTGTTGCTTATAACACATTAGCTCACAAACATGCACTCATCACCACAAATTCAACATTCCATTTAATGCTTGCACAGTTTACAACCAATACAGTAATATTTTTGTATGTTTATAAACTGAAATCTTGTAGGGTTTTAAACTTTGCAAAGTGAATATTTTTAATGAAGCAAAATGGCATGATGCGTATTTATATATTTTGTTAGTTTAATTGTTTTTAATAGACCTTTCTTTCTTTCTTTCTTTCATTAGTCTTTAGCCAATTTTACCAGTTTTACTCATTTAGGTTGATTTGCCAAATGGTTGTGAACATGATAGGAGAACATTATCATACTGGTAATCAGCCATTCACAGTCAGTCTCATGTAACCTGTATCTAAGAATTGCGTTTTTACATTCACGCCACATTTTAGGACATTAAAAGAGATGCTGGGTTTTCTGAAACTGTATATGCAGCTGTTGTGCCACTTGGACAGTGTTACTTTAGAAAAATGAGTGGTTTACATCTCATATTTCATGTTACTTGCATACAATATATTCTCATTCTAATTTTTTTTTTTGGGTGGCATTGCTTCCCTTGCCTCCTCATACACGCCCCTGCCACACACTGATCATTGTTGTGGATCAATGTTTACTGCATATGTTCACCCACTGAGAGTCTAACTTATAATTCTTCACCTGCAGTGTGATTTCTACCAGCCCAGAACACCTCTGCTTTCCTTCTGCAGAACACACACACAAACACGTACACGTACACACACACACATACACGCTTGAGGTATTCGGCCAATCACAACGCACTGGATAGCTGGCCAATCACAGCACACCTCGCTTTTTTAGAACGATGAGCTTTGTAAAAATCGACTCGTTTCAGAAAGGCGGTGGCATAGAGGAGAAACAATAATGTACAGTATGTGGAAAATAGAGTGTTTTTTAACTTTAAACTGCATAAACACATTTCATTACACCAAATACACAAAATAATGTTCTTTTTAGCAACATCATATGACCCCTTTAATTTCAAACATGTATACTGTTATTTGGTCATATGGACTACATCAAAGTAGATTACTTTAATGTGGATTTTTTATTATTTTTTATTTTTTGGAGCCTGATGTGTAGCATTTAGTATAAATTTAACAAAAGAAAAAAAAACCTGTGATGCATTGGAAACTGTGTGTGGGTGTGGGTGCACGCGCGCATGTTCAGGAATCCTTCCTAAGGCATCATTACCCATCACATAAAGCAGTTCACGCATGACCACACAACACACACTGCACATGTACACACACAGGCTAGTGTGTACTCTGTACCTCCCAAAGGCCCAGGGCTTTAGTGCAGATCCACTCACTGTGTACCTTATGTGTGTTTGACTATGAATTCATGTTAATTAGATTCACTGTCTGTTTGAACAGAATAAAACACAGAGCCGCATCCCTCTTAGCTGTGATCACACATCTGAGGTGGGTTTTA